AAATAATTTGCAGAACACATTTCTACACTTTGTTACGCTACAAAAAATATCACTGAGGGGTTATCAATAAGGGTGTCGTCGATTGCCGCGCATATTGTGCAAGCTCACATATCAAGTTACGAATGACTTGAGGGTATGTCTCCCTGCTAATTTTTTCATTGCAGAATGAATGTTGTTTCACTCCCGAAAATCAGATTGATCAAATCAATTATATGGGTGTAGGGTAGACTGAACTATTTCCTGAGAACTGTAGATTTTCATACCTAGTCCTTTCGATGCGAGCCACGGGAAATTGAATCGCTGCCAAATCGCTCATCGTCACACGCTGCGATATGGGTGCGAATCGCAGCCAACAGTCTGTGAATGCGGCAGCCTGCGATACACGGTGCGATCGAGCATTCAAGTGCAAACTGTCTGGAGATGCTTTTGACCTGGAATAGTATATCTTTATTCACCTTATACAGAAGTTACAAACAAAAGTGTTTACTTTTGCGGAAAGAGCGGCCATGGTATGATTTCCAGCTTGTTTTTGTACAATTCCGTTTCTTGGTATACACCATCGCTCATGCTGCCGACGTACAGTACCATCAAATCGCTTCTCTGACTGTTTTAAAATTATTTAGGCAGTATACTCTTACAAAGAATACGGTAACAGGTTGTCGGCTACACGATAACGCGCACAATCCAAACTAGCTTACAGTACTTTTGGGCTTTACTAGGTCCCTAGACGCAGTGAGGTATTGTAGTACATGCTTTTGTAGCCTGCGCGAGTCTATCATAGACGCGAGAATTCCCATTTGTTGCCTATTCTTTTGAAATTTTTTGTTACACTCCGAAAATTACAGCAGTATGATTTCTCATTTTTTATTGAATATTGACTTATATCAAGTGTAATAAAGCTTAGCTCACCTGTAATACTCCAGCAATGACTGTAACGTGCTTCGATCTTCATACAGCAGAGCATAGCCGAGACATACAACATCATTATGGACGGATGGCAGTGAGAGCGGTTCCACCTAAGCAAAAAATAAGAAGCTAGCAGCTTTCAATGGCAAAATTTTTTCTCAAATTTATCGAGCAGAACTGATTTGCATCAGCATTTTCGCAACACAAAGCGATAGCGAAATCGCGTGATGTTCGCCACCTCAGTTGTTCGGCTGGCCACTCTCGCTATCTATCGTGTCCATTTCAAGGACGTGGTCGCGCGCTCGTTGCATTTGCCATTTGAAAAGAAACTTTCGAATTGGCTCTTGACAGCACGCTTTTGAGCATTCAAGCAACAGCTTGTGGTTCCAAATTGAGCAAAATTGTTTGAATGAGGACTACAGCATTTCCCTTGACTCTTTCTTGAGATGTTCAAAATTCGGTGCATGGATGCAATGTCCAACCTAACACGATAAAAGACATGAATCTTTTCCCCAATTATGGAACATATTTGGTAAGTACACGGCAACTGACACCTAGAAGTATAAGACTAAATTCTTTAATCCTGAATCTCTTTAGAGTGTTACTTTAACACGTGCTTACTGCTGTACTCCCTCTGCACACCTTTGCCAAATGAAATACTATATCACTAACCTACCAATTAGCAAAGAGACCAGTAATTGAGGAGCGGATACAATTTTTATCCAATGCAGGTAAAGGAATAC